ATCTTTTTTCATTTTATTAGTTTTTATTTATTTTAGTTAACTAAAATGTTTTTACAATTTCAGTTTTCATTATTTAGTTAGTTTTAGTTAGTTTTGTAAAAAGAATTATACAATTTTAGTTATCTTTTTTCATTTTATTAGTTTTTATTTATTTTAGTTAACTAAAATGTTTTTACAATTTCAGTTTTCATTATTTAGTTAGTTTTAGTTAACTATAATAACCCTGCATCCAACTTTAATAACGGTGTTTCAGTTTTTGTCAGCTCTCATCGTATACATTGCATTTTTTGCAGGAAAGTCCTTATTTTACCTTTTTTGGCCTTTGCCTTCGCGGTTGAACTGGTTGGGAGTGGAAAGGTTGGGCTGTGAATTCTCCTCTATTTCCAAATCCCACATGTCCTCCTTGTCAGGGGTCCACGGCTCCAGAGGCTGGAAAAGGCGCTTGTCCCGTGGCGGGTCCTTCCTCGTGAGCTGGAGGCGACGTTCCATACGCTCAATGCGTGCAAGTAACTGAAAACAAAAACCAACATGTTAGCTAAAAGCTAATTTCATAACCATATATAAGCAACATATATGGTAAACATACCATCTCTTTATCAGCTTTGAGCTCATCTATCTCCTTGTCCTTGGATTGCAGCTGTTGTTGCTGCTGTTCAATGAGGTCCAGCTGGAGGAGGAGGATCTGACGGAGGCAGTTGGCCTGTGCTTGGGGACTGGCGGGGGTCTTCCTGATGTTCCTCCACTTGCCCTCAGAGGAGAGTTCAATGGATGCAGTGCCCAGGACTCCAGGGACAACCCCCTTCACGCTGTCTCCAGGACCAGCATCCTTAGGATTATTGTTCACAGCCATATGAGGATTATCCATGTTGTCGACAGAGAGGGGTTTACCTTTCACCGGGGTTCCCTCACCCCCCATTGGTCTGACAGGGGACAGTATCCCCACCGTTTTGTCTACTTGAACTATTTCTGCAACTGTGGCACCGACAGCAACTTTGCTGGTCATATAAATCTGGTCTAGGTCCTTGGATATGTTCGGGATCTCGCCCTTTTGCACATCGATAATAAAGTCGCAGGGCTCCCTCTTGATGCTCACAGGACACACGGTGTTCACCCCAACGTGTCTGTGGCCAATGTCGACGGTGTCCGCGTTGTTCTTGAAGCCTGCGCTCGGTTTAGATCGGAGAGTCATAACGGCTTCTCATGATCAAGCAGCGCCACGGCAGCTGTAAAATAAAAATAAACACATCAGTCGTTATTTCACAACAACCATGAGGTGTTTGAGAGCAGAAGCAGAAAGCACGCGCACTTACTACAAGTGTTTCAACCCAAAATGACTACCAGGTTTGAGGTTAAAGCATCCTTCGCAACATCGTTCTTTAGAAATTAGAGCTAAGCCGCATTATCTCTCTGAGCAACAACTTCACCACGAACTCGACAAGTTTCGTAGGAATTTAACCGACAACTGCTGCTGGCGGCTAGACATTTTAGTGAGAGGACTTCCAACAAGGACTCGGGAGTGGCTGARTAGGACAGCACCGTCTCCTCCATTTTGGTTCTCGTGAAAAACAATAACACCCAGCTAGCTAGCAGGCTAATGTTAGCCGGCTAGTTTCACATACAAAAATACGTCTCGGCGGCGAAATGTAACGACGTCATCGTAACACTCACCGTTAAGAAGACACGTTTTGTTTAAAAGTGTTTTGTGTTTCATGCTTACCTCGACTGCGTTTCAAGTGAGACAGTAAAGTACCTTCATGTTCCCTCCTCAAGACTTGTTTTAAAGCGCACTCTAGTGCGCATGCGTAATGTATTAACTACCCGTTTCTTACGTTCGCCTTTAATTCAAACAGTCACCACTAGGGGGCAGCATACTTTCAGTGAAAACACAGATACAATATTTATTTATTTATTTAGAAATTTGTTCATTTCATTTGTTACAATATACACAACAAAGAACAAAAACATGCAATCAAAATCAAATAAAATGAAAGGCAGCAGCAGAAGAATAAATCTTATCTCATTTCTGCCCTTTTTATCTCCAGAATATATTCAAACTGAAAGTAAATTACAACAAAAAATCAAAACAACTGAAAACACACAAAAAACTAAAAACAAAGCTAGATTTAAAACAGCAATTCAAAACAACAATTTGCATGAATTCACTTATTTTTCTTCAGAATATTAGATTTGATCTTTCTCTTTAATATACAGTGGTTTGCAAAAGTATTCATACCCCTTGAACTTTTCCATATTTTGTCACATTACAAC